GAAAGGTGCTGCCATGAAGGTCTGTGATGTGCCCTGGAAACATTTTATTCATTGTCTTGGTGATTATCATTAGGCTCCTTGTTATTTATGCAAATTTCTGCAGCTGGCTTGAATTTCTCCCCAGAAAATGAGGTTTTCTTCACTCTTTTTTTCTTTTCTTTCTTTTTTCTGGAGATGGAGTTTAGCTCTTGTCACCCTGACTTCAGTGTAGTGACGTGATCTCAGCTCACTGCAACCTCTGCCTCCCAGGTTTAAGCAATTCTCCTGCTTCATCCTCCCAAGTAGCTGGGATTACAGGTGTGCACAACCACACACAGCTAATTTTTGTATTATTAGTAGAAATGGGGTTTCACCATGTTGGCCAGGCTGGTCTCAAACTCCTGAGCTCAGGTGATCCACCGCATTGGCCTCCCAAAGTGCTGGGATTACAGGTATGAGCCACTGCACCCAGCAGGGTTTTCTTTTCTGTGGCATAGTCAGCCTGTACATTTTCCGAATTTTTATGCTCTGCTTCCTCTTGAACTCTTTGCCTCTTAGATATTTCTTCTGCCAGTTACACTAAATCATCTCTCTCAAGTTCAAAGTTTCACGGATTTCTGGCACAGGGGCAAAATGCCACCAGTCTCTTTGCACAGCAAGAGTAACTTTTACTCCAGTTCCCAAGAAGTTCCCCCTCTCCATCTGAGACCACCTCAGCCTGGACTTCATTGTTCATATCACTATCAGCATTTTGGTCAAAGCCATTTAATGAGTCTCTAGGAACTTTCAAACTTTCCCACATCTTTCTGTCTTCTGAGCCCTCCAAGTCTCTGGGAAGTTCTAAATAATCCCACACTTTTCTGCCTTCTTCTGAACCCTCCAAATGGTGCCAACAGAGGTTCCAGGCTTTGGAACTGCTATCCAGTTCCAAAGCCGCTCTCACATTTTTGGGTACCTTTACAGCAGTGCAACACTCTCTGCAGTACCAATTTATTGTATTAGTCCATTCTCACGCTGCTAGTAAAGACATACCTGAGATGGGGTAATTTGCAAAGGAAAGAGTTATAATTGACTCACAGTTCAGCTTGGATGAGGAAGCCTCAGGAAACTTACAATCATGGCGGAAGGGGAAGCAAACATGTTCTTCCTCACATAGCAGCAACAAAAAGTGCTGAACAAAAGAGAAAAAGTCCCTTATATAACCATCAGATCTCATGAGAACTCACTATCATGAGAACATGAGACTAACCACCCCCATGATTCAATTTCCTCACACCAAGTTCCTCTTGGACATATGGGATTATGGGAACTACAATTCAAGATAAGATTTGGGTGGGGACATAGCCAAACCATATCAGGTGTAATGCTAGCCCTCTGTGTACAGGTTTTGTGAACAATATTGATTGTATGGGGGAGAGTGAGCTTATGTCACCATTCCATCAATGACAATTGCCTGGTGAATACCAATCCTCCATAGCCATGACTGGATCACTGAATAAAATGATGCAGTGTGCATCTGAAAACTGCCTCTTCCTCTGTGGGTGATCTGGGAGTGAACCAAACATGGGGTGGACAATGTCATACCTGGAAAGCTGGCAGATCATGGAATCCTGGACATTGGACATGCTTGGGGGTGCTCCTGCATATCACCCCTGGGAACAAGACACATTATTGGTCCAGCAGCCTAAAAGTATGCACCATGCTTATTAGGAAGCTGCCAGGTAGTGGCTGACTCTGGGTTTCAATCCTCTATGAGATTTCTGGTACCGGGCATAGGAGTCAGTGCTCATGAAAAAAATGATATTGTTGCTTCCAGTGCCACTACCTTGGCAGCCCAGAGACACCCTTCAAATCCTTAGGAAGGTTGTTTTAAATGACAGGGAGGAGTGCGTGCCACTGCCAACAACTCCTGTTGTACCTGGATAATATCTCAGGCATGGATGAGACACAGATAGAGGAGATCTGAAAGCAGGCCTGCTGATCACAGTCAGAGTGGCTACCTAAAGAATCTTTCTGGCCAGACTGGGTGGCTCACACCTGTAATCCCAGCACTTTGGGAGGCTGTGGCAAGCAGATCACCTGAAGTTAGCAGTCAGAGACCATCCTGACCAATATGGTGAAACCCATCCCTACTAAAAATATAAAAATTAGCTGGGCATAGTGGTGGGGGCAGGTAATCCCAGCTCCTCAGTAGGCTGAGGCAGGAGAACCGCTTGAACCCAGGAGGTGGAGGTTGCACTGAGCAGAGATCACACCACTGCATTCCAGCCTGGGCGACAGAGTGAGACTCCATCTCAAAAAAAAAAAAAAAAAAAGCAATCTTTCTTGGACCTCTTTAGCAACTTCTTACCTGGATCACTAGGACTTGGGGGAAGGCCACAGCTACAAGCAAGCCTGATCATCCTGCTTATCATAGTAGTCTCCTGGATCTAGTGAAATGTATTCTGATGGCTTAATAATATTGCACTGAGATTGTGTCAGTCAAGGTGTCACTTCTTCTTTTTTTTTTGAGACAGAGTCTCACTCTGTCACCCAGGCTGGAGTGTAGTGGCATGATCTGGGCTCACTGCAACCGCCACCTCCTGGGTTTAGGTGGTTCTCCTCCCTCAGCCTCCTAAGTAGCTGGGATTACAGGCGTGCACCACCACATTCAGCTAATTTTTGTATTTTTAGTAGAGACAGGTGTGGCCAGGATGGTCTCAAACACCTGATCCCAAGTGATCCTCCCACCTCAGGCTCCCAATGCCCTGGAATTACAGGTGTAAGCCACCGTGCCTGGCCAAAGTGCCACATTAATATGATCAGACTTCTGCCTCCAGATCCTGGGAGTCTGGAGGGCCTATGAAATGTATTAGGTTTGCTAAGGGAGATACCTGGATTGGGGACAGACTGCAGGGCAGTTCTCTGGTTGGCCTTGGACTGACTCAGCTCTCCCCTCTTTCTCACTAGTAGTTCTCAAGAATAACCATAGAATGTGATGGAAATGTAACATCCCAAGATAGGGATGGATGACTGGAATGGCCCTGGCTCTATCCTAGTCCCTCCCTACAAACAGGATGTCTTCCAATGTTTTAGCTCAGCAGTCACATGACCCACCCCAGATTACAAAACTCAGGGCAGCTGCAGTGCAAGTGGACACATGCACATGAGACTCCATCACCCCGCAGCATTCCTGATCCCTGGAGGATTGGTTTGCAATGATTCTTAGGCTTCTGTCATCCTTTGCTGCCTATCTGTAAGTAATAAATCCAGTTAATGTACGTTGCTGTATTAAATATGTGAATCTGTTTTGTCTCACTGGACTCAAACAAGTTGGTAACCAGCACACAGTGAACTTGTTTCATATAGTCTAATACCTTTTTGTTCAGTTTATACATGTTTATTGAGCTGGGTGTCACTATATGCTCTTCTCCCTTCTCTAACCTGCTATGTTCCCAGCTAGGCTGAGCCGTTTGGGTTTGGCCAAAAAGCATTAGAAAGATACTGAAAAACAGGAGAGTCAAGGAATTTATAGTCTCCTCCTTCCTGCCACAAACCAAACCCTCTAGAAAAGCTACAATTCCTACCAGACTGCCCCCTTCCCTTGAACCTTCAGATTCAGGGTTCTACACCAAATCTTGTTTCATTGTCTCTGTTTTTAAACCTTGTCCATGCCTTTGTAGATAGTACCTTTATAAAACTCTCCTCAGTTACATAGGCTGAGAGAGCCACTTACTTACTGTTAGAACTCCGTATGCATACAATCCAAAAGGGACTCTAACACTGATTAGATTTGTGAGTTGAAAAACGAAACAAAATTTTCACTGGGTACTAACCCTATACGTGTGCCAGTGTAGTGTTTTTACACGTTAGCCCATTTAATGGTCACAATAAGCCTGTTCAGACAAGAAAACTGAATTTAGGCTGCACACGGTGGCCCACGCCTGTAACCCCAACACTTTGGGAGGCTGAGGTGGGAGGATTACCTGAGGTCAAGGGTTCAAGGCCAGGCTGGCCAACATGGTGAAACCTCATCTCTACTAAAAATACAAAAATTAGCCAGGCATGGTGATGGGTGCCTGTAATCCTAGCTACTTGGAAGGCTGAGTTAGGAGAATGACTTGAGCCTGGGAGGCAGCGGTTGCAGTGAGCCAAGATCACAGTACTGCATTCCAGCCTGGGCGACTGAGCGGGACTCTGTCACAACAAACAAATAAATAAACAAACAAAAACAAAAACTGAATTTAGAGGGTTATGTTTCTTGCTAAAGATCATCAGGTTTTAGTATTAAGGATCAGGGTCAGACCGGAACTCTGCCAGGTCTGCCTCGCCAAACATCAGCTTTGCTTCAGGTACCATTAGCTCTAGGAAAAAAGGCTTGGTAAGGGACTGAAGGGTAAGGGGTGAATTATGGCCATGTTTCTCCACGCATCACCTGAATACAATCACCTGGGATGCTTTTTCAAAATCTAAATTTTTGAACTGCCTCTCTCTCAATCCTTTACCTCTCAGTGGTTTTCTTACCTCTATTTCGACACTCACTACGTTGGATTGCAGGGATAGTCATTCACTTTTTTCTTTTTTTGAGATGGAGTTTTGCCCTTGTTGCCAAGGCTGCAGTGCAATGGTGCAATCTCGGCTCACTGCAGCCTCTGCCTCCCGGGTTCAAGCAATTCTCCTGCCTCAGCCTCCCTAGCAGCCGGAATTATAGGCATGCACCACCACACCTGGCTAATTTTGTATTTTTAGTAGAGATGGGGTTTCGCTGTGTTGGTCAGGCTGGTCTCGAATTTCTGACTTCAAGTGTGATCCACCCACCTCGTTCTCTTAAAGGGCTAGAATTATAGGCGTGAGCCACCGGGCCGGTCAGATTAGTCATTAAGTCTTATTTCAGCAGTTATTCTATCACTTGGGACACTGGTGTGTTTGCACAAATTCTAGGCGCCCCACGCAGCGGCTTGGAGCCTGTCCACAATTCCAACCAACGGGAGTACAGGTAAGGGCTCCGCCCTCGACCGCTTTTCTGTGATGGGCAGAGCCGTCAGGCCCGCCCACTGACTCGGCAGAGCTGGGTCGACCCTATTCTACCCAGGTTGCAATGGCAGCGACGCTGATCCTGGAGCCCGCCGGCCGCAGCTGCTGGGACGAGCCGGTGCGCATCGCCGTGCGCGGCCTGGCGCCGGAGCAGCCCGTCACGCTGCGCGCGTCCCTGCGCGACGAGAATGGCGCGCTCTTCCGGGCCCACGCGCGCTACCGCGCCGACGCCCGCGGGGAGCTGGACCTGGAGCGCGCGCCCTCGTTGGGCGGCAGCTTCGCGGGGTGCGAGCCCATGGGGCTGCTCTGGGCGTTAAAGCCCGAGAAAGCCTTGGGGAGGCTGGTGAAGCGCGACGTGCGGACGCCCGTCCCCGTGGAGCTGGAGGTGCTGGACGGCCACGACCCCGAGCCTGGGCAGCTGCTGTGCCACGCGCGGCACGAGCGCCACTTCCTCCAGCCCGGCGTGCAGCGCGAGCTGGTGCGTGCGGGCCGGGTACGCGCCGCGCTCTTCCTGCCGCCAGGTGAGTAGCTTCTGCTCAGAACTTGGTCGAGCTCTGCGACCCCTGCCGGCCCCTTGCATGTCCTGGGAATCACGTGACGTGGAACGTCCCTGAACTTGCTACTTCTCTCCAGAGTCTGTCATGGATTCTGAGTCTCTAGGTGCCCTGTGTTGCCCAGGCTGGCGTGCCATGGCTGGATAGCTCACACTGCAGCCTCTTGGGCTCCAGTGTTCTTCTCGCCTCAGCCTCCTGAGTAGCTGCTCCAGTCTTTCCAAGTTTCATGTCCCTCCCCACCGAGGCACTATCAATTTTTACCTGTGCTGAATAGTGCATTCAACTTATTATCTATTTATTGAGAGCCACTATCTGCCAGCCATGTGGTTGTCTTTGAATATGATTTGGGCAAAACCTGAAGCTGATGTGCAAGAATGGTTTTTGCCTCCTGTCACATCAAACTTCCAAAGAAGCTAAAATCCACAAAAGTGGCAATGCCCTAGAATCATTTAAAAACATACACAGAACTGCCTGACGGTCCCCTCCCTTCTATTATAAACATGCTGTCCCTGGTTCTCAACCTGAAGTGATTTTTCGCCTTCCCTGGGGGATGATGTTTGGCAATATTTGGAGACAGTTTGAGTTGTCATACCTGAAGGGAGAAGTGCTGTTGGCATCTAGCAGGCAGAGGCCAGAGGTTCTGCTAAACGTTCCACAACGCATAGGAAAACCGCCAGAACAAAGAATTATCTTGCTCCAAATGTCTACACTGCTAAGGTTGAGGAACCCTAGTCTAAGTAAACACAGGATGCTTTCTAGGTAAAGGTGGCCTAGAAAGAAGACCCCAGATTAATCCCGTTCAACTAAATTGCTGACTTAAACCTCTACCATAGAAAATGCTGAACTGGGCACCGTGGCTCAGGCCTGTAATCCAGGCACTTTGGGAGGCTGAGGTGGGCAGATTACTTGAGCCCAGGAGTTCAAGAAGTTCAAGACCAGCCTGGGCAACAGGGTGAAACTCTGTCGCTACAAAAAAAAAAAAAAAAAAAAGTCAGGCAGGCATGGTGGTGCGCACCTGTAGTCCCAGCGGCTTGGGAGGCTGAGGTGGGAGGATTGCTTGACATCAGAAGGTGGAGATTGCAGTGAGCCGAGATCACACTATTGCATTCCAGCCTGGGCAACAGAGTGAAACCCTGTGTAATAAATAAATAAATAAAATAAAATAAAAGTGAATTCTAGAGTTGCAACAGCACACAGAATCCTTAAACTGAATTCTGTGATTATTCTCCAAAACAAGAGACCATGCTTTAGTTTTACAGGTCTTCAGCAATCTTAGCCTTAACTCATGGCTGCCCACTACACTGTAAATTCCTGTGGGTAGAATTGGGTCTTACAGATTTCTAAATATCTATATTCCTAGAGGCTTTACCAAGGATATAGTAGGAGCTCAATAAATAATACTGACTGGGCCAGGCACAGTGGCTCAGGCATGTAACCTAGCACTGTGGAAAGCTGAGGCAGGTGGATCACTTGAGGCTAGTAATTCAAGACCAGCTAGGCCAACATGGCAAAACTCCACCTCTACTAAAAATATAATACGAAAAAATTAGCCAGGCATAGTGGCTCACACATGTAGTCACAGCTACTAGGGAGGCTGAGGTGGGAGAATCCCTTGAACCTGGGAGGCGAGGTTGCAGTGAGCCAAGATGGTGCCACTGTACTCCAGCCTGGGTGAAAGAGCAAGACCCTGTCTCAAAAAAAAAAAAAATCATACTAAGAATCGACTAAAAGCTTTCATTAAAAACAAACAAGGCTGGCACGGTGGCTCACACCTGTAATCCCAGCACTTTGGGAGGCCCTGGTGGGCGGATAACCTGAGGTCAGGAGTTCAAGACCAGCCTGGCCAACATGGCAAAACCCCATCTCTACTAAAAATGCAAAAAAATTAGCCGGGCGTGCTGATACATGCCTGTAATTCCACCTACTTGGGAGGCTGAGACAGAAGAATGGCTTGAACCCAGGAGGCAGAGGTTGCAGTGAGCCGAGATTGCGCCACTGCACTTCAGCCTAGGCGATAGAGTAAGACTCTATCCAAAAATAAAAAATAAAAAAACTATTTCATTAGCTTTTAGTGTACAAGTGGCTTGGGGTTACATGGACGACCTGTATAGTGATGAACTCTGAGATTTTAGTGCACCTCTCACCTGAGTAATGTACATTGTACCCAATATGTAGTTTTTTATCCCTCTATATTATTATTGTTTAAGAAAATAGGCCGGGCGCGGTGGCTCAAGCCTGTAATCCCAGCACTTTGGGAGGCCGAGGCGGGTGGATCACGAGGTCAAGAGACCGAGACCATCCTGGTCAACATGGTGAAACCCTGTCTCTACCAAAAAATACAAAAAATTAGCTGGGCATGGTGGCACGTGCCTGTAATCCCAGCTACTCAGGAGGCTGAGGCAGGAGAATTGCCTGAACCCAGGAGGC